GGGTGAAAGTTCCGTTTCTCATCCAGCCAAGAGAAATCATACCCTACTCTATGATGTCTGGCCAATAATATATTGTGTCAAGAGGTCATTACACAAACCAAGAGAATTTCAGAGGAAAATCCAAGCCCTGAAATTAACCATTACACAATAGGCTGATTCTACATCTCAAAGAGCTAACAGTCTATAAACTTTAAAAGGAGGTACTCACATGTGGTTTCAAATACGTCCCCTGCACGTAAACGAACTTATATAAAGTATCAAAGAAAGTTTTGCGCTCCCCAATGTTCCCTGCATGTATGTTGACTATTTGGTTAGAAACAAAAATAAGGAAAGAAAAGTAAAAGAACCAAAAGATCCTAATCAAGGGAATAAAAGAAGATTGATAGCAAAGTTGCATGCTCTTTGAAGAGCAATTAGGGCCATTATTTCAGACCTTCCACCTTAGTTTATCTATCATATCCCACCTGATTCAATATTTAGTTCCACTCAAACGCACTAGTTCCTAATCCAACCTTTCCTCTACCGTCTCCAGTTATAAAAATTACCTTCACATGTTGATATTAAAGACCCCAACATTGTCAACTATATGACTATCTTTCCCTTGAACCAATCCTCTACTTCTAATATCTATTTAAATCAACAGCAAAGAAAAAGGACACAAAAACTATTAGAGAAAAAAATGTTTGAAATAGAAAGCCAAACAAATGAAAGAATTCATCACCGTCCGACCTCCAGTGAGCAAATGATAAAGGGTAACGACATCTCCACTGGAGCAGAAAGCTTTGCCACTACCCTCAGATCAGACAAAAAAGTTCATGTTAATTCAAAGACTGTGAACCCTGACAATAATAAAAGGAATGCCTGAAATGTGAATTCACTTCTCCGTCTGTATAGACTCTACACAAAACAAAACGAGGATCTATTGGAAACTATCAGCTCTTGTACGAGAGCATGTAACGGTAATACCTTCATCGACACAAACCCGACGTTTGGATTCTCTTCCCACGATTCATAAAGCCTCTTCAGCCTGGCCACCTGTAGAAAACATCAGCACAAAGTTGAAGCTTTAATCATCCTAGAAAAGAAAACTGAACCGGGTATCAAGAAACGCAAAAAATGGAAAGGCTTTCCGTTCCGATTGGGGTTGGTGAGGAATTATTTCGGGTCGGAGAGAGAGAGAGAGGAAGAACCAAACCATTGAGGTAGTGAGAGAATTAAGAGCAGATGGTCTGTTGAGTATCGCGGTTCTTGAGCTAGCTCTTCCATCCACTAGAACCTGACGCCACACAAACATACATGAATCGAAATATAAGCACCCAATCTAAAACGAACCAAAATGGCTAGCAGGACAAGCTGCATCAAATGAACAAATTGAAACCCAAAGAGAGAGAGAGGGAGGGACCTGGCCTTGGACGTCGTCGTGGCTAGCGTAATGGGGCTGAGCGGAGAGACTTGTCGGGTGAGGGGAAGAGCCGAGCTGGTGAAGCGAACGCCTGGCTCTCGCTAATACCTTCAAGCCATGCATCTTTCTCTTATTTTTAAATAAATTAATTTGGATTAATTTGTGACAGACCTATCGTATTGAAATTTTTCATGATATTAACTCATTTTTTAATAGAATTCTAGTTTAGTTGTCGATTTCCATTTGGACATGCTTTTACAATATTGACATTGAAGAAGTTTTCTTTTATGCTATTTCCCTAATAATTGTTCAAACTTTTGATTATCTTCGATTAAATCAAAGGTCTGCTGGGAAAATTTCTTATTTGTGGAGCAAAACGAATAACATTGCGGTTGGGGAGAAGACGAAATGGTTCTTGAACTTCGAGTTTTGTTATTTCCTCTTTGACATTAAGGGATAACATATTCTGAGTGGAGAAATTATCCAATCAGTCATAAATCAATTTTATGGATTTCAATTCGGTTCTAAACTTTTCTAAGTTTAATTTTAAACCTTTATGCAAAATTCCAATATAATATAATCTTTTCAGTCAATTTTTATCGAAAATGGTGAATGTTGCGATGTGCCACGTCGGATGGCTGATGATGATTGAACCGCCACATTAATGTTTTCTAGCGAAAATTGATAAAAAAAAAACTACATTGGAGTTCTGTGCAAAAATTTATGACTAAATTGACAAAATTTAAAAATTTAAAATTGAAATAGCATCCGTACAATAGGTTTAGAGATAATTTTCTTTATTCTTATTTGACATTTCATATGTGTTCATTGTTATCTTTCCTTGGACTTAGCTTTGTCCATTATCTTAACATTTGAATGGATTTGTATCGGTATGTTTTCAGATCCGGGTAGCAAGTTTCTCATTGCCTTTGTTATTTAGAGTCCTTGCCCTTGACTATGATGAATTGATTAGTGATTATAGAGAAAATTGTCCAAAGAGTTCTAAACTTATCGTAAGGCAGCCAATTCAATTTTAAACATTTCAATTATATCAATTTAATCCTAAATCTTTTGACAACTTGTCAATTTAGTCCTAACATTTCAATTGTACCAATTTAGTCGTAAATATTTTGATAATTTGCCAATTTACTCATAAAACTTTTAACGATTTATCAATTTAGTCCGTCTTGCCAAAATTGGGCGAAAATCGCTAACATGGCGGTCAGGTCAACACCAGCCATCCTACATGGCACGGCCGGTACTGACATGGACAATTTCTATAATTTTTATTTTTCTAAATTCTTTTCTTTTCTTCTATTTCTTTTTTTATTTTTTATTTTTTATTTTTTCCCTTTTTTCCTTCGCTAGTCTCAGGCGAGGGCTGCCCTCCCCGGATTGGGTGAGGTATGCCCGCGCCTGCGCGAGGGCAACCCTAGCTAGATCCGACGAGGGCATCCCTCGCCCTCGCCCTCGCCCTCGCCCACCTAGGCGAGGGCTGCCCTCGCCAGCCTAGGTGCAGGCGCCCCTTACCTGAGGCCGACGAGGGTAGCCCTCACTTGAGGCTGTCGTGGCCCAGCAGAGGGAATAAGGGAAAAGAAAAAAGAAAAAAAAATTAAAAAAATTATCCATGTCAGCGCCAACCGTGCCATCTAGGACGGTCAATGCAGACTAAATCGCCATGTCAGCAATTTTTCCGGACAAAATTGACTGGAATGACTAAATTAGCAAATGTTAGAAGGTTCAGGACTAAATTGGCGAATCATAAAAAATTTAGGATTAAATTGGTACAATTGAAAGGTATTAGCCGATGTATAATAGATTTAGAACTTATTGGACAATTTCCCAATAACTGTGTTTGTCGGAGAAGGTCAAGTGAAGAAGTAGAAGCATGGTGCGGTTGGTCCTGTCGTGCGAGCAAAGCTTTCTATCATCCTCTCAATGACTACATCGTGATCGTGGTGCAGGAAGAGGAGAAATGGCTTTATGCCATCGTCCCAGTGAGGAGAGGGAACGACATTATGAAAGAGGGCGAAGGAACATATGATAACTTGAAAGAGATATGCCATTTACGTGTCAAGTATTAACGCCACAAATATGTTAATTTCTGGACAATGTCATGCTTTTATCGATGTCAAAGAGAGAGAGAGAGTTTCATGGAGAAGAAAAAGAAGGAACTGACATTGGGGCTTGTACTCCGGAAAAGGAGAGTACAGAAATTAATTTTTAGTACTTAGAAGAAGATGCAAGCAATCACATTTGATTGTGCAGGCCAACTCATGAAGCTTGATGAGAAGAAGGCAATTACCTTTGAAGATTCTTTTAAAATACAAATTACATGGAAATGGATCATTTTGTTTTGCTTGAAAACTGATGGATATAGACTTACTTTCTAGAGTTTATTATGCATCCAAGCAACATATATATATATATATATATATATATATATATATATATATATATATATATATCAACTATCCTTAATAAGGGAAAGAAAATAGTCTCTAGACCGGTTTCTATAAGTGACCTTTACCAGGAAATTAATCACCAAAAACAAGAAATTCAAACCCTCAAGATTGCCCAAACGAAAATACAAAAAGAAATTTTGGAAATTAAATATAGTTTTATAAAAGGAAAAGAGAAAATAGAAGAAGTTGAAGAAAGTAGTCATTCTGATCCAAACTTTCTATTGTTGCTTTCCGAAATAACATCCAGAAAATGGATAATCAATATCAATATAAAAATTAATTGTGAATTTATTTTAGAAACAACTGTACTTTTTGATACAGGTGCAGACCTCAATTGCATTAAAGAAGCTCTTGTACCCACAAAGTATTTTCAAAAAACAACCCAATCACTTAAATCAGCATCAGGAAACAAATTAAATATAAATTACAAGATTCCAGAAGCTGAAATTGTAAAAGATTAGATTTCCTACAAAACCCCTTTTCTTCTAGTAAGAAATATCAAACAAAATGTTATTTTAGGAACACCTTTCATATGACTAATACAACATTTCAAAGTCACTAATAAAGGTATTGAAACTGAAACCTTAAAAAGGAAAATATACTTTGATTTCATAACAAAACCCCAGACTAAAAATTCGAATATCCTTCGAGAACAATCTATTTCTGAGATAAATTGTATCATCCGAGACAAAGAAATTCATCTTCAATATTTAAAAGAAGACCTTGAACATAAGAAGATTGAACAAAATCTTTCTGAAACGAATCTTCAGAAAAAGATTGCTAATCTTAAAACTCACATAGTAAATTCAATATGCTCAACTATTCATAATGCTTTTTGGTCGAGAAAATGTCACACAGTTAATCTACCTTATGAACGAGAATTTTCTAAGAAAAACATTCCTACTAAGGCCAGACCAACCCAAATGAATCACGAAGTCTTAAATTTCTGCCAACAAGAGATACAAAAACTTTTTGAGAAAAACCTCATTAGGAAAAGTCAGTCGCGTTGGAGTTGTTCAGCGTTTTATGTTAACAAAAATGCTGAATTAAAATGAGGAGTACCAAAACTAGTTATAAATTATAAGCCTTTAAATTGAAAAATTAATTGTTCCTCGCTATCTACAATAATAGATGTCATGTTCCCTATAGTACGTATTAGTTTTGAATTCCTGTAGTGATAATGTCATTTCCTTTTGCTTCTTTCATCAAAACATTCCAGTTCAGTCACCAGAATGTAGGAAATTCAGGGTTAGAGATTTTTCACTTCTGGACATTCTGAGTGATTTGGAAGGTCATAATGTGCTTCATAGAGGAAGGAACTTAATTTGGCCAAGTAAACCGACTTTGAGGGAAGAAAAAAGGGAGATTTTACACTACTTGGACTACTATATAGACTCATGATGTCTTGCAGATAGGAAACATGAGTTTGCTGCACCTTTGTTTGTGAAACAGGCAAAGCCAATGTTAAGAAAAAGATTTTATCTGATGACATCTGCATTTTCTCATCCTTGAATACTGGCTAAAAAGGACCTTATTTTCATGTAGGAGGAGGCTAAAATGGAAGGGGATGCCAAAGAGCCCAAGACCGAGTTTCAGCTTCAGTTCCATCCATCTGCAAGTTCTCGGGATCATGAAATTAGCGAAGAGCCTCCCATTGGCCATGTCAATGACCAGCAAAACCAGATCAAAGAGCAAGACTCGATCCTTATAAGTATTTCACTGCTATTGTCTATGTTTCGATCTATTGTTATCATGTCACATAGACTGAAAAAGTATACATTGAACTTAAATCGCAACCTTTTTTTCCAGGTCTAGATACACTTGCTCCACCAAGAACATTTTCTGATAGGTTCAAGACATGCTTAGTGAGAATATTGGAATGTATCTGCAACCGCGACTTTCCTAGCTTTAAAGCTGAAATTCTTTGAAGGTCGGAACAGAAGCAGCATATGAAGGATAATTCAGAATTCGTGGAGATGGAAAGACCAAGTCAAGTCTCGTCATTTTGGTTGATTGAAGAGCTAAGTGATGGCATCAAAAGATAACTTTCAGACTCCTCTTGATCAACCTCAAAGGCTACTACAGTCAAGGGACAAGTTTTCCGGAAAAAAGAACTCTATGTTGCATAGGATTTTCCTCTGTGTTGGGTATTCACTATTCATTTTCCATTTGACCGTGGTAAGTCTATCTCCTAGTGGAGTACAAATTGATTTCCATGCGGCTCAACTAACAAAGTATTTTCCAATATTTTGGCTTGCGTATGAAAGTTTCTTCAACCTTCTGACAGCATGTGATAAACCAAGTAATGCACTGACAGGAAGCTGATTGGCGCTGATATACATTTTCAGCCAATGATTAGGTGGTTGGTTAGCAGCAAAATCTCTGTCAACATTCATTAGTCGAGATTTAATAGAAGTTGCCTGATATTGGACACAGCGACTTCCTAAAAACTGGACGTATTTTGTATATTAGTCAGTTTTCATCATTTTGTATGCACTTTTGATTGATAAGGAAATCATTCTCCAAAGTTGATAATCCGGTAGTTCTTCGATATTTGCTAAGTTGCTCATGAATTGCTTGGTCATAGCAAGCAAGCCCGAAGAAAGCATTTCACTCGTGGTGTGGCCATGAGTTCTAAGGACCCTGATATCAAGCTTTCTCTTGACCCGTTCCCACGTCGGAACCAAGAACATCTTAGACGAAATTGGAAGATTCAAAGTCTCTTAAGAGATCACTTTTGCTACTTTTGAACCTACTATCATGTCCTACGGATAAAAGTGCATTGAACACATTGATTCTAGCCTAACTTTGCAGGTTTGGATGTATTTCCCCCCACCAACTATATAGATCTTTGTACAGGTTTGAAACCTATTTCATAACCGGGAAAGTAATTGGAGTTTTATTTTGGAAAATCTTTAAAGAGGGCCCGTTTCAGTTTGGGATTTTTTATGATCAAAAAATTAGTTCGGGATAAATTTATCATAGGTGTACTAATTTGAGATTTTTCGTGGTATTAACCTAAATTATATTAATAGGCGAAAGCGGTGAAACTCAAAAGCACATTTTTGACACTCAAAAGGCACTTTCACATATTACTATTTTTCTAATTTATATTCTATAGACACACACTTTGGCTTTTTTTTTCTAATTTCCAATACCTGAAACTCTTATGACATTGGAATGTTAACATGTAAATTTGCAAATAAGTTTTTCATAAAATCTTGATATTTGAAATAATATTTTAACTGCGATGGTATATGAAAGGTTGTTTCTTTGCTTTTAATCAAACAAAAAACAAATAGATTCTTAACTTGGGATAAGGACACTACAAGTGTTATAATTTTCGTACGGTACTCACTTGAATGTCATAATTTTTTTTCAATCACTCGAGTGCCATGACTTCTAAAAATCATTAATTTGTACTTTTAATCGATCAGTTAAGTGCCATAACTTTTAACAAATGTTTACCAAAGTGCCGGAAATTCGATGTAACATGGCACTTGCAAAAAAAGTGATCAATTTAAAAGTTTATATGACATTACATTCAAGTTTTCAAAAAAAAATTACAATATTTAAATAATCGCCGTATGAAAATTATGATATTTATAACATACTTTTCGCTCATTTACTTGGGAGTTTGGCAGATAATTACAACAATAATCTTTTTTTTGGTAAAGGTAAGAATATGTGTTACTTTTCAAAACACCATATACAATATAGCGCCAAAGCCAACCCTTAACCCGATTAGGACACAGAAATGTCCGAATAGGGTCCACGTTGGTTCAGCAAGAACTATATAGCAAGCCAAAGAGAGACCAACTAAATACAAGGCGACTTAATACACCGAATTAAGAGGCCATCTAGTTCGGTTCGAAGATTGAAGGTGGAAGACCCCACTTCCTTTGTAATTGCCGGTTCCTAAGAGTATCCTCAACTCCCCCAATGGATATGGCTTTATCCTTCACGACTTTGACTAGGTGCAAGCACATACCCGGGATATATACACTCTTGTTTCTGAAGATGGCGTTGTTCCTTTCAGTCCAAATGACATGACATAGTGCACCAAAGGAAAATCTAGAGAGGCGATGAGCAAAGGAAGATCCACCGCAAACTTTCATTGCCCACCTAATATGCTCTTGCCAAGGACGGTTGCGCCATGGAAGGTTGCATTTAGTTGCCCAGAAAGAAGCCAGCCTAGTAGTAGAAGTGCACTCAAAGAAGAGATGGTTGATCGAATATGGTCTATCACCACAGAAAGCGCACAAGGCGGTGTCAATCCTGCGGTTTTGTAGGAGGAGTACCTGGGTAGGCAGCCGGTTGAGAGAAATAAGCCACAAGAGAAAGGCATGTCGAGGGGCAATATGATGATCCCAAATGAATGAGTGCCACGGGGCTGGATGCCCTTTCCTTCTGATATGATTCCAAGCTAGCGCTACCGAGAAAGAGTCAGAAGGATGTGGAGACCATATCAGTTTGTCCGGAGTATTTTGCACAAAAATTGGTGGTGAATCCGTCCAGCTCAGGTTAGTGTCAAGTGTATATGAAGGTTGCCATAAACAATCATACAATTTCCGAACCGAAGTGTCCCGGGGGATCCGCGATTGGTATATGTCCACATTGCTGAATATGAGGTAGAGTGGGCCTTTGTTATGCCACCAATCAAATCAAAAGGACACCGAGCGTCCATTACCAATCTTCCACCGAAATAGTGCTTGGGCGGAAGCTCGCATATCTAGAATTTTCTTCCATGTCCAAGAGCAAAATGTATGTTTGGATACAATCCAAAAGTTTGATTTTTTTAAGAAGGTTGAATGTATCCATTTGCACCACATGGATTCCTTATCAGTAAAGAGAAGCCATATGTGTTTAAGAGTCATTGCTCTATTGTATTCCACAAGTCGACGTATCCCAAGGCCACCTTCTTCTTTGGGTAAACATACAGCATTCCACTCTACCTTAGCTCCACCCATGCCAAGGTTAGGACCTTTCCATAGAAATTGTCGCAAAATAGCCTCAATTCTATATAATACTGATTTCGGAATAGAGAAGATAGTAGCCCAATACACTTGCATGGAATGCAGTGTGACATCCCGAATTTCGGCCCATTTTTGGGATTTATAAAACGTGTAATTCGTCAGTGCGCTTATAATAGAATCTTGCCCGGGAACTGATCACTCTCGGGTTCTTGTTTTTAAAATAGAGATTTTGCTAGAATCGCACTTGATCGAATTTTGCCGTTATTTAGACCCCAAACTTGGCAGTCGATTTTCAGGAGTTTCGGGACGAAATAAATTGGACGATGTCGATATTAGTGTGGCCAGCGTTGAGATTGTCAGGAATAATGGAAAAATGGGAGTTTTTGACCGGGTGCGAATTTGAACTAGTAGACCTCCCTCGTGATAGTTGATTTAATTAACTTGGCATTTGTCTCTTATTATATTCTAGGACTAATTTGGACCGTCAAAACGTTGTCGGTTTTAATTTTGGGCCGTTGAATTGCATTATTTATTTGATTGAACATTTAAATTTATTTCCCCCTCACTCTTTCCCCATCTGCCGCGTCGAACACCCCTGCCCGCACGTTTCCCTCTCCCCTTGTGCGCTTGCCCTCTCCCCTTTTTCTCTCTCTCTCTCTCTCTCTCTCTCTCTCTCTCTCTCTCTCTCTCTCTCTCTCTCTCTCTCTCTCTCTCTCTCTCCTCTGCGCGCCCCACTTGCCGCGCACGTTTCCCCCTGCTTGCGTCCCATCTGCCCATACCCATGCAGACCAAACTCCCCCTGACACTCTCTCTCCTCTCTCCTTCTTCTTCCCTTTTCTTTCTTCTCCTTCTTCCTCTTCTCTCTTCCCCGACGGTTCTGCTTCGTTTCTGTTCTGCCCGCCCGACCGAACGCCGCGCGACCGCCCTTCTGCCTCCAGCCACGTCGCCGTCGCCACCGTCGCCCTCGACCGAGCCGCGCCGCCGTGTCTGCCGCCGCGACCGCCTTCCGCTCCCCAAATCCCGTCTGCCGGCCTCGCTGCGCCGCGAGGCGCGCAAGCGTAAGCTCATCGCTGCGACCGCCGCGACACGGCCGCTTTCAGCCGCCGCGGCCCTCGCCCTCCGTCGCCTGGCCACCGTGAAGTCGCCGCACCGCCTCCGGCTGCCGCGAGACCAGTTTCCCCCTGTCTCTCTCCTCCCCGGCCTCTCCCCTGTTTCGGTTCCGACGAGCCCAGCCCTCCCGTCGTTGCTGCCCGCCGGCCAGCTCGCCCGTCGCCGGCCCGTCCGGCCAGCCGCCACCGGTCCACACCCCCCTTCAGCCTCCATCTCCCTCTCTTCCGCTCCCCCTTTCCTTCTCGGCCGCTCAAGGACCTCGCCGGAGGAGCTCCGCCGCCGCCGTTACTATTCGGCCGGATCCACCACCTCGCCACTGGCCCACTGCCCCACCTCTCTCTCTCTCTCTCTCTCTCTCTCTCGCCGTGTCCATCTAGGCCGTGGAATCGCCTAGACCGTCGCCGCCGCTCGCACCGTTCGCCGGAGCCGCCGCCGCCGTTACTGTTCCGGCGCGGGACCGCCGCTGTCCAGCCGCCGTTGACACTTGCTCAGCCCTATTTGGAGCCTAGGAATCCAAGTGAATACAACCCTAAACCCTAATTAGGCTAATTTATATTTCTAGACGGGTTTTAGGGGTTAATTAGGGTAATTAAGGGTTAACGTGCGAAGGACATTAGGGGCTGATATTGTGGCTAATTTGGTGGTTTAGCGGGATCATTTTAATGAGGTTTAGCGGCTTGGAATGTGCTGTGCGATGGCTGGAAGTATTGGATTGAATCGGCCCGAGTTCGGGTCAAGTTCGGGTTCAATTGTGGGTTATAGAGCGCGCCTAGTTTGGTCCTCGTGGTGGCTGATTATGTGGAGAAATTGGGAGTTTATGGTGATGATTTAAATGTGATATGATGACCTAGAATGGGCTGACCGGTGGCTGTTTATTGTGGATTCGATTCGGGCCATTATGTGGATTTAATGGGCGCAATGCGTGGGCTGCGAGTTAGGCTGGTAATGTGGTGATTATGAGAGCCTAATGTGATGATTTAAATATGACTTGATAGTCTAGAGTGGACTGATGGTCGGCTGTTCATTGGGGAAATTAATTTAGGCGATTATGTGGATTTGGCAGATGTGATTAGTGGACCGCATGGTGGCTGTTTTCATGGTGATTCTTGTGGCTTAATGTGGTGATCTGGAAGTGATTTAGTGGCCTAAGGTGATCTGGTTGGTGACCGATTAGTGTAGGCTCGATTGGACTATTATGTTGATTAATCGTGGTCTAAATGCGGACTATAATGGGTGCAACAATCGGGCCGTGTAGTGGCTGTTTATGTGGTGGATTTGGGAAGCCTAATGTGATGATTTGGAAGTGGATTGGAGGCCTAGAGGGGACTGGTTAGTGGCTGTCCATAGTGGAATTTATCGGGCCTTGTTCGGCGAAACTGAGGATTAATTGTGAATTGGCCGTGTGTGCTTGATTTGTCCGTTAAGCGGCTGATTGTTTATGGCTTGGTAGTGGTTACGTGATGCCAGGATTGAGTACTTATGCGGCCGAGAAAGGATATGCTTGGTGGACCTTAGACTTGTGCAAGTTTAATGGCTTAATTGCGTGATTTTCGTGTGCCGATGATGTACCATGGCTGATTTGAATTAATTGATTGATTGGGCTTGTGATTCATTGAATTGAGCATATTGTGTTGTGAATTGAATAAGTGGCGTTGTGCAATTGAATGCTCATTGTGAAATTCGTGAGTGCCCAAGTGTGAACTTCATGGCCATGGGTGTGCATCTCGAGCATTGGCATGGCATGTGCATATATGAGTGTGCACGAATGACATGAGTGTGTGATCACCTAAAATGCCCTGATGCGTTTTACGCGGGGTTCAGATAACAATTGGTGTTTGTGAATGAGTGATCACATAAAGCCCTGATGCGTTTTACGCGGGGTAGTGAACCCGTCCTGAGGCGTGTTACGCTGGACGATGCCCGGATTACCGGAAGATGACCAACCTGATGCGTTTACGCAGGTTATGTGTCATGAGCCTGATGCGTTTTACGCGGGCCGGAGATCGATCTCGAAGTGATGGATCTGATGCGTTTTACGCGGGTCGGACCTGATGCGTTTTACGCGGGTCGGACCTGATGCGTTTAATGCGGGTCGGACCTGATGCGTTTTACGCAGGTCGGACCTGATGCGTTTAACGCGGGTCGGAGGAGAAATTGATAATTGCAAGTGTGCTGGAGTGCAAACGTGCGAAAATGCATTGATGAGGCGTGAGCACGCGTATGAGCACGAGCATAAGCATGACATGCGTTGTGACCAAGTGATGTGTGCATGTGCTGTGATTGGGTCCTGTGTTTTATTCTTGAATTGTAAGTGCCTAACTTGCAGGGCAAGGTGAGTATTGGATTTGGGCCCGAGGGCCTAAGTTAATTATAGTTTGATTGGTGTGTTGATTAGTGCTCGTCAGGAGGTGCATGTTAGCCTAGCTTAGGTTTAGGGAACCTACTCGCTGAGATTTATTCTCACTGTTGTTGAAATCCCACTTTTCAGACCCCCAGCCTTGAGGATGGCAGGCGTACCGATACGTTTTGAGAGGAGCCCCGGCTAGATATAGCGCTTGACTGCCGAGCCACGTACCCCCTTTTTGACGTTGGTGGCTGTTGACCCGTTTTGGCTTTTATATGTTTATTCTGTTGTAATAGACATTGTAAATCCCCGTTATTAGTGCAAGTTGTATTTATGGTATTACCGATATCCTTGGTCATGTGGTTTTAATTTGTACGGGTGTTTGTTTGCTTCCGCTTGTGCATTGTTCTCTGTTTTGGGTTTCGGGTCGGCGACGCGTCCTGGGACGTCGCACTGAATCGACCTCGGTAGGGTTGTCGCGTGCCATAGGGTTCGGGGCGTGACATGCAGGACTGATTTGATGAGTTGTAACCGACCAGCAAAGGACAGGAAACGTTGAGTCCATGAGCGGGCTCGAGCCGTTATAGAATCAATCAAGATTTTACAGTCCTTTTTACGCAGTCTAGTCAATATAATAGGCACGCCTAAATAGCGAAAAGGGAGTGTACCTTGTTGAAAGTCGAGGCATTGAAGTAATTGTCCATGCAGAACCGGATTCCTTCCCGAGAGGAAGATATTGCTTTTCCTAGTGAAGTAATTACAACAATAATCTATCGTTCCTTTGTCCAAGAAAGTAATAAAACATCGCAACTGGGGAGTTTTATCCTTGGATCCCATTATTACTTTGAGGTTATTAGTGACCTCAAACAGCAACCTCTGTACTTGTACTTATGGCTGAGTTTCAAGGTTTCAGACCAGTGGTTGATTGCTGCTTTGCCACGGGACCCTCGATCGTGCTTGATGTGACCTTTCCAGAAAATATCAAGGGAAAGTAGTTGCTGCCGAAGGCTCTAAGGAATTCAAGTGAGACCGGGAGTCTATCTGCGTTACATCTTGTACTTCCCCGCGTGCTGCTGCGGGGAATCGCGCGTGCAAATTATTGCATAGCAGCCGTTCGATTGGCATGAAGAGTCTTGGACCGTTAGATGGCAAGAACGCAGTGCAATTTGGGTTAAGGGTTTTTATGACTAAGAAGAAGATATATTGCTTCTAGCCACATTTGCGATTGAAAAATTCTAGTCGGACCCGGACAGTGCAAATTCAGATGTGGGTCCAATTTTTTCATTCCCTCATGATGTTACAAATGGGAAGGGACAGCGAGGGACCACGTACATGCATCCTGCCGAAAAGAGACCAGGGATTATCGCAACCTATATTTTAATTGAAATTAGTTGGTGAAGAATATGCTTGCCGACTAGGGCCATCTCTATTGCTCGCTAGTTTTCTCTTTTGGCAAATTTATAATCCTAAATTAGTATATTCGTAATAAATTTATTTCATATTAATTTTTTAACAATCAAAAACTCTAAATTGATGTATTTGTGATAAATTTACCCTCAATTAGTTTCTGTTAAATTGGATTAATACTACGAAAAATCATAAAGCGATACACATGTGACAAACGGAAACCTACTTGAGATTCAAGTCATTGAAGAAACTAGAAGCACTTCTAGTGTGGCGTTGCGAAAACCTACTTGAGATTCAAGTCATTGGGTTATCAAATTTGAAGATCCTTGAAATTCTTGGCCGACACTCACTTCAATTATCAAACTTGAAGAACCTTTCTACCCCTCATCTTGGCCAAAAGGCCGAGAAAGGCATCCATTGCAGGCACATGGCTTGGCTTTTGTTCATAGTCCCACATCGAACGGGCACATAGTGACCGTAAGAGGGATTGCACGTAAAAGCCAAGCCATGCGCACGGCCAAACCATTCTTTTATTCGTCTTTTAGCTGAATATTTGCATCATAACAACATTGAGAAAATTCTTAATAATTATATTTGAAATGATTATTTTTGAAATTTTTTAAAATTAAAATTAAAATTTTTAAAAATTATCTGGATCGAAAATCATTGGTTCCATAAAAATTTTTGGTATGATTTTTCGTGAAATCGGGAACTAGACCGAAAATCATCGGTTTCAATTTTACAAAAATCGGTTCCAATTTTATGAAACCGGATCGGCGCCCCCTGGAATTGCCTAAAACCGGCCGGTCCAGTCTGGGTGATTTTCGTTGCACGCCCCACACCCGAGAAAAGAGGCGTTCTCGTGCAGTGGCCGGAAGCCCAACCTGTTGGTCACAGCCTTCCTCCCGGATGTCTCATACATGGACATCTACTAATGGTCCTCCAGACCCCCGAACATCTTGACCTTTTTGCTTCCTTTCAACATTCGATTCAAATTGGTTTTTCAGAGACATCAAACACAACACAATGCTTTATTCGAATTTCATTCAGAGGAAAATAAGACCTTGAAAATCAAGCTAACACTGCATTACAAATCAGTATGCCATCCATTTGGTATTAAAACTAACACCACGAGACTTATTTTGGGCAACTGAATCACCCATTAAAAAGTTAACTCTCTTTTACTCACTCAAACGGTACTTAGGTGTGACCACCAGATGCTTGGCTCTAGGAGTAGTGAGCCCGAACTCCTCGGTCATATCAAGCTCACTAGGCAACATGCCGCCAGGAAGGTCCCAGTCAAAGCAGTGTACAAGCTGCGCAAGCACGAACCGCACCACGGTCAACCCGAGTTGCATCCCGGGGCACCCTCGGCGGCCTGCCCCAAACGGCAAGAGCTGAAAATCACGCCCCTTAACGTCCATGCTCGACCCTAAGAATCTTTCAGGCACAAACTCTTCTGGATTGTGAGTGGTCCACACTTTTGGGTCCCTTCCGATGGACCACACATTCACAATGACCCTCGACTTGTAGGGTATGTGGAAGCCGCTCACTGTGCAGTCCTCCGTCGCCTCGTGGGGAAGCAAAAGTGGAGCCACCGGGTGAAGCCTTAAGGTCTCCTTGATGACCACGTCTAAGTAGTCCAAGCCCTCTACTTCTGATTCCTCCACTGCTTTATTCAGTCCCACGGCTTTCTCTAGTTCTTCTTGGAGCTTTTTCATTGAACTGGGATGCTTTATAAGTTCGGCCATTGCCCACTCTATTGCTGTCGCTGAAGCGTCCATCGAACCCAACATGATGTCCTGCATGGAGAAACATATCGATATTGCACTTATCAAGCATATTTACAATAGAGTTGGTCATTGATGTGAAATTACAGATCTTTTCATATATTCGAATATGATGGTCCATATACTAAAATCTCTGCTAATAATTTATGGATTATCTTTTGAATCAATTTTGATACCTAATTACTAATCTGAGATCCTCAACTAGCGGGATCCTTGTTCCAATAAATTTTCCACTCCGACGTATGCTTAGATAATTGAACAGTAATAAGGTCACAGAGATTATTAATCTAGCTAAAAAAATTGATTAATTACCATAATTATGGCTTTGATATGGGGCCTGTCGATATGGTACTCTCCCTCGTTCAATCCCATGAAACCCAACATGACATCAACAAAATCTTTGCTCTCTCCTTCATCTTTCTTAGACTTCACGTGCTCGTCAATAATCTTCTCAAAGAAGGCATCGAACACTTTGCTCACGGCTTTCATGCGTTTCGTCAACCCCTGGAGATCAAATGATGCTAAATAAGGAACATAGTCACCGATGTTCGGTGTAGCGCCCAACACCATCACTTCTTGAATAACGGCCTTGAACCCTCTCTCGTCAAACTCCTTGTCCATGTACTTCTTCCCAAAGACCATCCGACAACTCATATCGGCGCTTAGCGACGAGATATTCGCGCTCAAGTCGATGGTCGTGCGATTGTGAGATGCGTCTTTGAGAAAATTCACAAGCAAACCAACCTCCTCTCTTCTCATGGACTTGAAGGAATTGATTTTTGCATTGCTAAGGAGCTCCAAAGTGCACATTTTTCTGATGTTCCTCCAATATGGGCCATACGGTGCGAACGCCAAGCTCCTTTGCTCGTAAGAGATGTGCTTCGAGGCCTCATGAGGCGGCCGGCTCGCGAAAACAACATCATGGGTCTTGAGGAATTGTTCGGCCACTTTGGGCGACGAGACAACGATCGCGGGCACGAGCCCGAGGCGCAAGTGCATGAGGGGTCCATATTTTTTAGCTAATTTGTGAAGATCATGGTGAGGGTTTTGTCCTAACAGATGAAGGTTTCCAAGAATGGGGAACCCTCTTGGACCAGGAGGCAATCTCTTCTTGCCCTGTGTTTTCCATAGCAAAGCTCGCAATAAGAGATGAGCAATCAATGCGAAGGTGAGTGTTATCCATATCCAAGCCATTGGAGGAGGTTATTTGAAAGGGAGAGGAGCGAAGATGGTGGTGGGGATAATTTCACTGCATATATAGATGAAGATGTGACAGGGAGATGTGCAAAATTTGTTACCCATTGTTTTTTAGTGGGCCCTTCATCTTGAATCAGAAGAAATATCATACAGTGTATATTAATTAAATAATAGTGAAGAATATTTCAATACCATAAAATAACATCTTTTCTCACGACGAGGATTGATTTTGTCAATCAAATGATTAAAATAAGCGCATTTAATGTTTTATTTTCTGAAACGAGAGAGACATGAAAGATGGAAGAAGCTAGTGATTTTGAAATGGGGGAAGAAACACAAGGAAGTGAGTCTTCGAGGTTGGGAATTTCTTTTCGTTTTACGTTTATGGTTTTTAGGAAACTTACAATTTACATAACTAAAATAAATGCGTTTAATCTCCTAAAACGCGTGCAAACCTCCCACTCCGAATGCATCTGGAAATGAATATTCATCTTAATAAGTAAAAAATGATTTAAACACGGGACCCATTTTATCGCATTCAAACTCAGCAATGGATTACTTTCCCAATGCCTTGAAGAAACTAGAAGCACTTCTAGCGTGGCGTTGCGAAAACCTACTTGAGATTCAAGTCATTGGGTTATCAAACTTGAAGAACCTTCATTGTTTGGACATCGATGGGTGCTCTAAGCTGCGAGTTGTCAAGGGCCTTGACAAACTAGAGTTTTTGACTCGATTGTTTGTCAACAATTGTCCTTCACTGGAAACATTGCTTGACATATCGAAGTCGAAAATACCCGATAAGTGCCAGATACAAGTCAGTGAGTGCAGGGAGTCGGTTGACACTTCATCACGAAGAACGTTTATTCCTTTCAAGCGTTACAAAAGGATGGCTCAACAAGGTGCGCCACAATCAGAGACAAACAAGGTAAGCCTCGACCAGGATTTTATCGTAAGACCAAAGAATTTCACCAAAATTGACAACTAGATGTAAATTTCTTTTCTGCAACTTATTCTAACATAATTAGTTAGAAGCACGCCACTGCACACACCTATCATATTTCACATAAATTTATAGAATGTTCAAGAATTGAATCAACAATGTAAATTTACCAAAAATTATAACAGCCTTCAACCAGTCTATAGAATCATTTCTTCACTTGCAAATGTCTAGGATTCTCAAATTTTCCCTACCATAACAAACCAAAAGTCGCCATATGAGAGGAGAAATCTGATACAGGCGATGGCATCTCGCTTTCCTTTCCATTTTCTTTGGTCCCCTCTCTTTGTTCATATTCTTCCATTCATTGACTTTATCTGCAATTTCTGTTTATACAGATATGAAAACGGAACTTCCAACTCTTAGACTGAATATAGATGTCATGTTTCATGTAGTGAATATTTATTTTAGTTTCCCGTAGTAATACTGTCTTTTCCTTTTGCTTCTTTCATAAATACATTCAAGTTCAGTCAACTAAATGTAAGAAATTCAAGGTTAAGAGATTTTCACTTCTGGACTTTCTGAGGGATATGGAAGGTCATAAGGTGCTTCGTAGAGGAACTTAATTTGGAAAAGAAAAACCGACTTTGAAGGGAGAAAATGGAAGATTTTACACTCAATGGACTACTGAATCATCATCATTCAGGAGTATATAGACTCATGATGTCTTGCCCATAGGAGCCATGAGTTTGCTGTACCCTTGTTTGTGAAAATAGAGAAACCAATGTTAAGAAAAAGATTTATTTGATGACAACTGCATTTTCTCATCCTAGAATACTGGCCAAGGAAAATCTTATTTTTCCATGTAGGAGTCGTCTAAAATGAACGGGGATACCGAAGAGCCTGATACCGAGCTTCAGCTTCAGTTCGATCCATCTACAAGTTCTCAAGATCATGAAATTAGCGAAGAGCCTCCCATTGACAATGTCAGAGAAGGGACTCTGCCTGGAAACCAAAAACTGACGATGGAGCAAGACTCGAACACTTTAAGTATGTCATCACTATTGTCTATATTTCAATCTACTATTTTCAAGTCGGAGACTGAAGAGGTATACATTGAACTTAATCGCAACCTGTTTTTGTAGGTCTTGACGAACTTGGAAAGCAAAATCTGACGAGACCGAAGAGGTATATATTGAACTTAATCACAACCTGTTTTTGCAGGTCATGGCGAACTTGGAAAGCAAAAATCAGACAACGGAGCAAGACTCAAACCTTTTGGCTGCGTTTGGTCGACCGGATAAAAGCCAGGATAGGATACGTTTTATCATATCCTGTGTTTGGTGGTGGTCCAGGATAGGATAAGGTCGGATATAGATCGGATATAGCCCAGATAACAAAATCCAAAGGGGGTGGGATAGACCTGGATAGGATTTCTAATGCCTATTTTTCCAGAAACGCTACGCTCCACTCGCCGTCATCTTCATCCCCACACCTTGTGCGCTTTCACCAAAAAAATTTCTTATCTTTTTTTCATTCACCGACTCCTCCGGACTCGTGAATAGCAAAAAAAATATATATCATATCCGACTTTAAATCCGTAGTCCACCAAACAGTGGATAGAATATGAAGAAATCCCATGATTTCTTATCATATCCTATCAAATCCTATCCTATTTAGAAATCCGGACAACCAAACGCAGCCTTTAAGTATATCACCACTATTGTCTATATTTCATTCTACTGTTATCAAGTCAAAGACTGAAGATGTATATATTAAACTTAATCACAACCTGTTTTTGCTTGGTCTTGACGAACTTGCTCCACCGAGAACATTTTGTGATAGGTTCAAGACATGCTTAGTGAGCATATTGGAATGTATCTACAACCGCGATCTTTCCTAGCAATTAAGCTGGATTCTTTGGAGTTTGAAACGGAAATGGCATTTTAAGTTTAATTCGGAATTCGTGGATATGGAAAGGCCTAGTAAAGTTTCACCATTTGGTTGAATGAAGAGCCAAGTGATGGCTTCAAAAGATGACTTTCAGACTCCTCTTAATCAAACTCAAAGGCAACTGCAGTCGAGGGACTTAGTGTTCCCAAAACAAGAACTCAGATTGCATAGAAATTTCCTCTGCGTTTGCGTATGACAATTTCCTTAACCTTGGACAACATGTGATAAACCAACCGACGGACTGACAGGCTGCTGATTGTTGCTGGCATTACCAAAATAGGAAGATCCAAACTCACTTATGAAATCATTGTTGTTATAATTGTAACGTACTATCATGTCATACAAATAAAAGTGCATTGAACATATTAATTTAACGCAGGTTTGGATGTATTCCCATTCCCCCGCCGCCCCCCGGCCCCACACCCCCCCCCCCCCCCCAAAACCCCCAAGGCCTTTTTCACAAGGAAATTAAGACTTATTTGTAAGACTAATTTGAACGAATTTCCCTCCACCAATCATGTAGATCTTTGAATCTCCGATGATCATAATGACATAGTAATTTTAGCATTTCACTATGCTTGGAGGATTTTCTGTTTTTGGAATTTTTGGATCCAATTCCCGTGGCTCTCCCTTTTATATATATGGAAGTCGCCTCATGGGAATGCCTTTTGATTTCAACGTCAAAATCTACATGAAGTGCCATGACTTCTAAAAATCATTAACTTGCACTTTCAATCGATCGCTTAAGTATTATAACTTTTAAAAACGTTCACCAAAGTGCCGGAAATTCGATGTAACATGGTACTTGCAAAAAAAGTGATTAGTTTAAAAGTTTATATGACATTACATTCAAGTTTTCGAAAAAAAAAATTACGATGTTGAAATAAGCATCGTATAAAAATTATGATATTTATAACATACTTTTCGCTCCTTTACTTGGGAGTTTGGCATATAATTACGACAAATAATCGATCGTTCCTTTGTTCAAGAAAGTAACAAAACATTGCAACTGGGGAGTTTTATCCTTGGATCCCATTATTGCTTTGAGGTTATTAGGCTGTGCATGGCAATCATTCATGCGTCTTAATGCATTTAAGTCGAAATGATTCTTTTTTATTCTGTGCCCGAGAACTGATTCTGAGCATTTGAAGGCGTTTGGTAACGACTCAAAATTCTATCTCTGAAATAGTAAAAGAACAGAAATGCGTTTGGTAACGGAATAAAATTTATTTTATTAATAATATTTTAATAACATTTTAAATATTTTAATATTTCTTTCTTTTCTTTTTTTCTTCTCCTCCTTCTTGGCCATGGCCGGTAAAATATTTTTTAATTAATAATACTTTTATTAAAAATAATTTTTTAATTTTTTTGGCCATGGCCGGTAAAAAATTTTCTTATAAATAATTTTTTTATTAATATTTTTTTAAAAAAATATTTTACTAAAAAGTATTTTTATTGAAAATATTTTATTATTTTTTTTCGCCATGGCCTGGTCGATGGCCATGGCCGGTAAAATATTTTTTTATAAATTTTTTTATTAATAATATTTTAATAAAAAAATATTTTTATTGAAATTATTTTTTTTATTTTTTTTGCCATGGCCTGGTCGCTGGCCATGTCCGGTAAAATATTTTTTTTATAAATATTTTATTATTAATAATATTTTAATAAAAAATATTTTTATTGAAAATATTTTTTTATTTTTTTCGCCATGGCCTGGTCGCTGGCCATGGCCTGTAAAATTTTTTTTATTAATAATATTTTTTTTTCACCATGGCCTGGTCTCTGCCATGGCTAGTAAAATTTTTTTATTAATAATATTTTTTTATTAAAATATTTTAATCTCGCAAGATACGGCGAGGGTGGACCTCGCGCCAGACATTAGAAACTATATTAAAAACCAAGAAAAAGAAGAAGAAGAAAAAAACTAATTCTCATTTTTGTTCCCAGAATCAATAAGCTACTTTTTTTTTATTCTTAATTCTGCTCCAAAACTGATTCTGGGCACAAATTTGTAAGAATTTGTGCCCAGAATTAAAAAATTAAACAAACAGATTTGTATTCCCAAACTGATTCTGAGAACAAAAGAACAGAATCAAATACTATTTGCCAAATTGCCATGCGCAAACTTAGTGACCTCAAACAGCAACC